TTACACTATAAGAGTTTGCTACTTAACACTCTCTCAGTGTTGACAACATTAACACTTTAAAAAGTGTTGTTTTTAACACTTTTATAGTGGTTCCCATATAAACTCTGAGGGAGTGTTAATTTTAACCCTAAGGTAGTTAAATCTACTATCTAAAATTTGCAGTGTGTGGAGAAATACAGAGAAGAGCGCTTCCCCTCTGCCCTTTATAAATTCTCTACTCACCCTCAAGGAGGACAGATAGTTTAGGCACTAATGCAGGTGTTTAAGTGAGCTAAGTGCAGAAAGACAGATAGGCCACTCTTTAATCTGATGCTGCCTTTTATATTAATGGACCTAAGATCTCTGTCTGAGCTTAAGCCTTTTTGAAATCCAACCTCTGCCCCATCACCGCTCCACATCTTTCAGCCTATTTCTCACTATATGCCTCCTGTGTTTCTCCTCATTTTCACATTTACTCTTTAATTCCATCTCTTTAAGGCAAGGCAAGTTTACTTATATACCACATTTCATAAACAGTGGCAATTCAAAGTGCTTTACACAAACAGGAATAAAAGAAAGAAGTATAAGAAAAAAAATTATTTAAAAAACATAAAAACAGATAAAATGAGTTATAAAAGAATGAAAGAGACGAGAAAAACATAATAGTGTGATCTGTGGGACGTAGCACAGTGCTCATTCAGTAAAGGCACAGCTAAACAGATGTGTTTTCAGTCTTGATTTGAATGTGCCTAATGTTGGAGCGCATCTCATCATTTCTGGAAGCTGATTCCATCAGCGAGGGGCATAGTGGCTGAAGGCAGATTCACCCTGCTTTGACTGAACTCTTGAAATTTCTAGTTTATATGATCCTAAAGATCTGAGTGATCTGTGAGGTTTGCAATCAGTGAGCATATCTGTAATGTATTGAGGTCCTAGGCCATTGAGTGATTTATAGACAAGTAATGGTACTTTAAAATCTATTCTGAATGTAACTGGAAGCTAGTGTAAAGACCTGAGGACAGGTATGATGTGCTCTGATTTTCTGGTTCTGGTCTTGAACTCATCTCTATTATTAGAAGTACACAGAGTATGGATTTCTTGTCTAATCACTCCCACCTGAGTTACCAAGTCCATGTGTTTGGATTCAGTTCATAGATCATCCAAAAGACAAGTAACAAGTGCATAACATGCAACTTTAAGTGGATTTAAGAGCTTTACAAAATCTGCACTGAGGTGGTACCTTTTCAAAAAGTAAACTATTGTAGCGTACTAGTAGATATTAGTACTTTTAGGGTACACTTTTGTATCTTTAAGGTTCCCTTTTGTACCTTTAAGGTACGGCAATGTACCCACATAGCAGAATTTCTCTGGCCCAGCTCTGGCCCACACAATCAGGTTTTGCTTGGCCCACATGCCGCAGTGAATTACGGTACATGACTGGACCAAATCTGGCTTCCAGACAAGGGCCAAACACGGACCATATCTGGGCCAAGCCTCAGCCAAGTTAATAACTCATAACTGGGCCTTAACTGGGCCTTAACTGGGCCTGAACTGTGCCAGATAGGTTGGTGTGTCACGATTGCAATGAAATTGATAAACCCATGGAGTGATGCGCTTTAGGCACACTATGACCATGGCAAGTGACCTGATTGGTAGAATTTTTTTTCTTTACTCAAAAATGATTTTAGTGTATTTTAAATGTGGGTCAAGACTGGCCAAACTCACATGGCCCACTTATCACATTTTTAAATCTGGGCCAAATACTATGTTTTACATCTGGCCCAAATCTTGTGTGCCGCCTTAAAGACGGTGCCACCTCTGCCAAACCCGGGCCATGTTTGGCCCACATGCTGTATGCCAGTGCTGGATGAATGCCAGCTTTATGCCAAATCTGGGCCAGAATTCTTTGCTACTAAGGTACTTATTTGTACTTTTTAGGCACTAATATGTACCTTTAAGGACCTGATATGAACAAAAATGTACCTTTTGAAAAGGTACCGCCCCAGAATTTGTATTTCTGCGAGTGTAGAGAGTCCACATACGTGTAGAACTGAACAGACCCCTTACTTCATTGTATTTCCTGAGAGTTTATGATTCCTCTTATCTCCATCCCTCTGAGGAATCTGCTGCTTTATGATAGTCAGATTGAAAAGTCCAGACTTTTGGAGGGGACTGATGATGAATGGAGATGTGGACAGGAAGATATACATGTTAAAGGGGTTTATGGTAGACCCAATGGAGCATTTTAGTGGTCGAGGGATGCATTTTCATAGATCAGAAGCCCTAATGGAGTTCTGGGTTATCTTTATGACATCAGGGTCTTAAGTATCAGTTTAAATGTTTTAAGTGTCTCCTAAACCTGCGGGGGAGGGGAGATGTTCTACAAATTTACCTGCTGTTACTATTGAAAAAGCAACATTTCCATTTAAAGCTTAACATTTAACATAGATAACACATCAATTTGTCACAATTCACACTATTAACCGCCATCATTAATATATTAACTGCGGTAACACTTTACAATAAGGTTCATTAGTTAATGCATTTACTAACATGAACTAATCATGAACAACACATGTACAGCATTTATTAATCATAATTGAGCATTTACTAATGCATTATTAACATCTAAGTCCATGCTTGTTACCATTAGTTAATGCAACATGAGTTAACATGAACTACTGTATTTTCATTAACTAACGTTTACTAACATGAACAAATACAGACGTAAATTTATTGTTCATTGTTTGTTCATGTTAGTAAATGCATTAATTAACATTAACTAATGAACCTTATGCTTATTAGAACTTATAAAGTATGATCTTATTCTACATCCCTTATCCTACCCAATACCTAAACTCAACTAATGGCTTACTAGCTATTAATGAGCAGCTAGTTAGGAGTTTATTGAGCTAAAAGTCTTTGTTAATGGTTTGTTATTAGCTTGAACAAACTTAAAATAAAGTGTTTTCTTAAAATAGGTTGCAGTTTAGATGAACAGAGCTTTAAGTGTGTACAAATTTAAAAAGATATGTCTAATGTGAAACATGTTCATACTTTTACAGTTGTATTCAATTGTCTATAAAAAAATAAAAGATGGAACAAAGAAAATTGTATCCTTATATTTTATTTTGTATTTTAAAATGGAAGTGCCTCTTTTTGTTATGCTATATGTGGTATGTAAACACAGAGTAGTAATTATATCCTACAAAGGTGTCAAAATTGAGTTAAAGCCAAAAGTATCATGATAAATTCTCAATTTTATACTTGATTAGGAAAACTTGATTAGCAAAATCCATGCCGATGTAAATACTTTAATGGCATTTTGGTCAGTTTCAATGTCTATACTTCGTTTGGCGTTTGTAGGCAAATTTAAATTAACATATAGAGTAGCTAGTGAACAAATGTGTAATATCAAAGTTGTTACCTGTATTATTTGCACTTTAGCCTTATTGGAACTCTCTATTGTCTATTGTCTCAGTTATTCAGCATCCAAATTCTGAATTAAATACAGCAACCAGGCTCTCACAATATCTTACAGGATCTCTGTAAGGCAGCTTTAATTTAATTGTATTATTAATGTGTTATTTGAATATATTAAATGACTATCTGGAATACTCTGTAATGATCGGTCAATCATGACATTCCAAAGTATGTTATTCTGAAATAACAACCGCTAAATAACACTGGGATTTCCAGAAACTTTGTGAATACATTCACATCCATATACAGTACTTACATCCACATTCATATGCGTCTGCTTGTCTGTCGCACCTCAGTTTTTGACTGTTTGGTGCCGCTTTATGAATGAATAATACATAGGATAGTTTAAGCTACCTTAAAATGGTTTAATTTCTGTCATCTTTGCATTTTTGACTTTTTGGCACTGTCTTGTGACTGAATAATGTGCAGGTTTGTGTGTACTGCATCAGCTCCACTCAGACTATTTTATTTCTGTCAGCATTGCGTTTAATTAAACAATTCATAAACTATTATGGCTCAGAACAATGTTGTGTGTCGTATTTTTACGTTTTGTGGCAAATAGCCATGTAACAAGTGGGATAAACTTTTTTTTCAAAGAATAAAGCCCTTCAGTCAACAGCCTGTCAGGTTTATTCTGCGATAAGAATCTCCTGGACATACACTGTAAAAAATGCATAATAAATTTATTCATGTTGTCCCAAGAAAAATTGATTAAGCTAACTTTTGAGTGTAAAACTGAGTGCACTTTATTCCTAAAGTATTATTGGGCTACATTGTACTCAAACAAATGCCTTATGCTTGCTTCTATTTTGTTGTAAATACTGTCTGTTAAGTAAACTACACAACACTTCACTGAGGCCCCGTTTACACTAGTGCGTTTTAGTTTTAAAACGGCGTTTTAAATCAAAAACGATCCGCGTCCACACAAGCGTTTCACCTAGCGTTTCTGACCATATCTCCGTCCACACTATGCCACCAAAAACGTTTATCACGTGACCATTCGCGCACTCCGGGCATGCGCGTTCTAGTATAAACAGAAAGCATGTGTCTCGCTCGGCATTTGGTTATTGTTAGTCAACAAACGCTTGCCTCCGTTTTCAGATGTCTCTGTTTTCCCTCATCCACACTGAGACGGAGCAGCAGCGTTTTAGAATGAAAAGGGCCTCTCCAGTGTTTTCGAAACGCTCTGTTTTCAGCGCTCGAGAACTCCGGCGTAGTGTGGACGGATGTCGTAACCGAAGCAAAACTTATGCGTTTTAAAATGAAAACGCATTAGTGTAAACTACACTACACGGAGAACACATACATTTGTCACTAACTGTTAATAAAATCATTTTGATCTAATAAAAAACATACAATTTAGTAGCCATTATCATATTTACTAAAACTGCTCATTCAATGCTGATGAGTCTCGTGTAGAAGTTTTAGAGAGACTGGTGTAGTAGCGAGGATGGAGAAATACAATGTATGTGTTCTTTATATACGTTTGTGGATTGCATCCGAAAATAATGTCTTTTTTACTTCTTTCTCTATCACAGGGTCTTTCAGAAGTGAAGGAATTAAAGCCTCTGATGTCCTTCCTGTGCTGAGAGAAAAAATAGCATTTGTGTCAGGTGAGTGTGAGATCTGCACAATTCTGAGGGTTACTCTCCTGTTCATTTTGTTAAGAATTAATGACTTTTGGAAAAAAAAAACACATTTTAACAGTAATTTTGCTTTAGTTTTTGTTATTTTTTACTCATCTGAATAATTTTAGTTTTAGGGTGCTTTCACACCTACACTTTTGTTTCGGAACGTATCTCGTTTGCCCAGTTAGCGCGGTTCGTTTGGCATATGTGAACAGGGCAATCGCGCTCTGTTCCGCGTCAAAGTAATCGCTCCGAGATTGCTTGAATGAGGTGGTCTCGGCTCGATTGAAACGAACCCTGGAGCGGATCGATTGCAGTGAGAAAGCGATCTGATCCGAGCGCGGTTATATCACAGTGTTTTATGGATATGTAATAGGTTTACGGCTATATGAAGAGAGAATTATGAGTAGGGCGAGAAGTTTCGCGAGTCTCGGGATGCCCGCAAACGAGTGATGATCGCCCAGTCCTCAAATAGGCATCGTCGCGCACCCTTCTCACCCCTCCCCACCGCGTCTCTGCTCAGACACGTCGCGCGCGTGCACCCTGTCAATCACCACCAAACCACCACCTCTCCTGACAGCTGAGCGGGACGCTGCAAAATAAACCCTGACACTGACCAATGTAAGGAGAGTTTACTCGCACATGACTTGTTTTAGCTCTTTTGGTCCGATTAGAAACTTTGCAGTGTGAAAGCGAACCGCTCCAAGAGCAAAGAGCAACATTGTAACAATTGTAATCTCTGTTTCGGAACAACTGAATCGATTCACAGGTGTGAAAGCAGCCTTAGACAAGTTTTAGGGTGCTTTCACACCTGTGAATCAATTCAGTTGTCCCGATACAGGGGTTAAAATTGTTACAATGTTGCTCTTTGGTCTTGGTGCTGTTTGCTTGTACAGAATCTGTATGTACAGATCTAAAATGAAAGCATTCAATTAATGTTTATGCCCATTTAAGACAAAATGAGTTGTGTTTAAAATAAAACATTGCTTAAAACAAGCAAATCCGTCAATAGGGTATGTAAAATAATCGTATTTTCTTCTTTGAAATAAGATTATTTCACTTACCCCATTGGGAGATTATTCTGTGAGAAAAAACTCACTCATTTTGACTTATCTCTGAAAATAATACACATTTTTTTAATTGTCTAGAAAATGCTTCTTGATTTAATAATTGATAGATATTTGGACTAGAAACAAGTAAGGCATTTAATTTTTTGCTTTGTAATCTTTGTTATATCAAGTATACAAAAAGTGCTAAAGCAAAACAAACTTTTTAGAATGCAGCTCATGACATACATTGTGAGTATCAAGTGTTCAAGGCTTCTGCTCTCTCTGAATTGTCTGCAGGCGGTCGTGATAAGCGAGGTGGCCCTATACTGACCTTTCCTGCAAGGAGTAACCATGACCGAATAAAACAAGAGGACCTGAGACGGCTCGTAACATACCTGTCCACTGTGCCCAGGTGAGCTCAACACTGATGTGTGAATGAACATAGCAGAGGAACAGGCTGGAGAGCAGACATGAGCATTAGTGATGCTAATGTGTCTTTATCCTGTATAAATAGGTCTGTGTTCTGCCCTCCTGGGCAGGAGAAAGCTCTTAGTACTAGAGTTACATTGGTCTGCGTTGTGTATTTTATTAAAGGATCACAATACAATGCATTGCAAATAAATTTGAATCAACTCTGCTTTATTGTGGTTTTATTCACTAAGCTCCTCACACAGAGATTTATTAAAAACTAATTAAAAAAACTATTAAAAACTAATAAAAATCTAAAGCGAAAATTATAATTTCTAACACAGGCAAATTGAGAATATGTGCCCAGGGTTACATATTTGGGAAACTACAAATACATGCCAGGGTGACATGGTGGCGCAGTAGGTAGTGCTGTCACCTCACATCAAGAAGGTTGCTCGTTCGAGCCTCGGCTGGGTCAGTTGGCATTTCTGTGTGGAGTTTGCATGTTCTCCCTGCGTCCGCGTGGGTTTCCTCCGGGTGCTCTGGTTTCCCCCACAGTCCAAAGACATGCGATACAGGTGAACTGAGTAAGCTTAAATGGTCCTTAGTGTATGATCTCACTGGAGATATGTGCCCAGGGCTACATTTTTGGGATCTGTAAAATCCATAGCCGAGGCTTGCAGTTGTTTTTTTTTTTTTTTTTTTAACAAATTCATTAGAGGCTGTTGTGTATATTTTGACAATATCAAGTACATTACTGGGCCAAATTTTCTGAGAAGGTTATAAACAGACGTTGGAGGCCTCATCTCAGCTCATGGATTTACAGGAACAAAACAGACATAAATTATTTAAACGCAAAACCGAGAAAACCGCAATTCACATGTGCGTATTGAACTGTGGAGGTCGTACCGTACGGTTTAATATTATATTGAGAACCGTGGCATCCCTATTGTTTATGAGGACATGCCCTGTGACCTCAAAATTCAAAACTGTTGGAAACATGGTAGTGACGCAGTTGCGCAGTGGGTAGCACGTTCGCCTCAAAGCAAGAAGGTCGCTGATTCGATCCTCTGCTTAGTTAACGTTTCTGGGTGGAGTTTGCATGTTTTCCCTGTGTCCGCGTGGGTTTCCTCCGGGTGCTCTGGTTTACCCCACAGTCCAAAGACATGCGGTACAGGTGAACTGAGTAAGCTTAAATGGTCCTTAGTGTATGATCTCACTGGAGATATGTGCCCAGGGCTACATTTTTGGGATCTGTAAAATCCATGGCTGAGGCTTGCAGTTGTTGTTTTTTTTAACAAATTCATTAGAGGCTGTTGTGTATATTTTGACAATATCAAGTACATTACTGGGCCAAATTTTCTGAGAAGGTTATAAACAGACGTTGGAGGCCTCATCTCAGCTCATGGATTTACAGGAACAAAACAGACATAAATTATTTAAACGCAAAACCGAGAAAACCGCAATTCACATGTGCGTATTGAACTGTGGAGGTCGTACCGTACGGTTTAATATTATATTGAGAACCGTGGCATCCCTATTGTTTATGAGGACATGCCCTGTGACCTCAAAATTCAAAACTGTTGGAAACATGGTAGTGACGCAGTTGCGCAGTGGGTAGCACGTTCGCCTCACAGCAAGAAGGTCGCTGATTCGATCCTCTGCTCAGTTAACGTTTCTGGGTGGAGTTTGCATGTTTTCCCTGCGTCCGCGTGGGTTTCCTCCGGGTGCTCTGGTTTCCCCCACAGTCCAAAGACATGCGGTACAGGTGAACTGAGTAAGCTTAAATGGTCCTTAGTGTATGATCTCACTGGAGATATGTGCCCAGGGCTACATTTTTGGGATCTGTAAAATCCATGGCTGAGGCTTGCAGTTGTTGTTTTTTTTTAACAAATTCATTAGAGGCTGTTGTGTATATTTTGACAATATCAAGTACATTACTGGGCCAAATTTTCTGAGAAGGTTATAAACAGACGTTGGAGGCCTCATCTCAGCTCATGGATTTACAGGCACAAAACGGACATAAATTATTTAAACGCAAAACCGAGAAAACCGCAATTCACATGTGCGTATTGAACCGTGGAGGTCAATATTATATTCAATATTATATTGAGAACCGTGGCATCCCTATTGTTTATGAGGACATGCCCTGCGACCTCAAAATTCAAAACTGTTGGAAACATGGTCTTTGCACATTACAAATTTGCCACACGTTTCCTGTGAGGGTTGGGTTTAGGGTTAGGTGTTGAGTAATCTAATACGATATGCTGTTTTTACAGTATAAAATGCATTACTCCAATAGAGATAACCACACATGCACATTTTGGCGCTTCGCAGCTGATCTCACTGGGCCACTGATCAATGCTGTCGCTGCTCTCAGATGTCAGCATCAAAGCCTGTAAGCTAAGCAGTGAACAAAGATGAACTTAATGCAAGTTTAATTAGGAGAACGAAAGAAAGAAACTGAAAAAAAAGGAAAATAAAGCGAGGGCAAAGACCCCCTTTCTCTAAGTCCTTTCCTCAAGCCACAATTCATTATGCGAGCTCACAGTGTTTTGATGTGTTGTGCCCACAGGCATCCGAGCTTCTGTCCCCTTCAGCTGCTCTTTAATATAAACCAGCTTTAAACTTCATGCATATGTTATGAAATGAGATGCTGGCTCACTGAGAGGTATCAGTTACCCTGTTTCATGACGTAATGTGGTTAAGGGTTTCAACCCTTTCACACGTAAGTTCTCCTGCTGACCCCACTGAATGACTTTTTTTATGAACGTTTTTTACCGAAGAAAATATATTATCAGACATACTGTGAAAATTTCTTTGCTCTGTTAAACATCATTTGGAAAATATTTTAAAAGGAAGAAAAAAATTTTGAAGGGGGCTAATATTTCTGACTTCAACTGTATA